TGTATGCAGAAATGCAAATCAAAGCCAGCTGCTCATAACAAAGTCTTCTTAAAACAAGGGGTTGTGCTTCTGAAAGTGATTATCACTGAAAAGTACAGGCTAAAAATGATTCCTAAAGATGTCTCTATAACTAATGATTTAACAGGTGTGCATGTAAGTGTTGTCAATACTATTCCTAACTAAACACTGGTGTGGGGGTTCTTCTTAAGACCAAAGGTAGTACAACCTGAACTGGTGTTGTATTGCAGGGCTGTCATTCAAACAGAGCTGGGTGCAAGGGTTATGTATATAAACACTGGACATTGTTTAAATGCCATAATTTCACCCATCTGGCAGCAGTGCCTGCTCCAGACTGCCCTTACTTCACATGACTGCTGGTACTTAAACTTTCTACACTTAATCAAATAGTGGAGTGAGAGAAAGGAGGAAAAAACAGTGTGGGAGGAAGGAATATTTTAAATATTTTATCCATTTTTTTTCCCTTAGCTGTGAGATAAGCAAATTACTTGCCTCACCTTATACGTATTCCAAAATTTCTTTTTACAGTCTGAAAAGATGTCCTCTTTCCTCTGAAGGATGCTCATACCTAGTGGCAAAATATTTACAACAATCAGAAATAATGCAAAACCGAAATGTTCATTTTTTTCAATGACACACTAAACCCTCCTCATAATATATTACAATAGCTTTGAAAGAAAAGGTGGTACCATTACAAAGAAAAACATTCTGGTTAGCTGATAGTGCTACCTTGTAACTCCTCACTTATTGACTTGACTGTCACCACAGATCAGCTGGGATATACTGTAGCATATCTGTTCCTCTGCCCCATCATGCACCAGTGATATGGTGGTGGAACAGAGAGAATGAAAGTACCTTTCACACTCATAAGAGAGAGAATAAGGCATTGTGCACATTGTTGAATTGCCAGAAGTGGCTGAGACCCCGGAAGGAGTTCAGGTGCCTACAGACCAGCTGAAGTCAGCAGAAAAGGGTACCTAAAGGTACTCTAGTTGGTCCAAACTCCTCTTGGTTCTAGGAAAGCACAAACTCACAACAGGCTCCCATCGTTACACCCAGCACCAACAAAAAAGCAATATGACTTGAAATGACATAGTAGATACATACAAACCAGAAATAAATCAACTGAGTGAATTCCCATTACATGAAATACTGTTTAAAGGGTCTATTATTTTGAACTCTTTAACTGATACCTCATACAAAGGGAATCTTCAGATATCAAATTAAGACTACATCCTTCTAAAAGGTGTAGCAGCTCTTCAGAGACCACCCACCTCAACTGGAAGTTGTGACCTATATTCAGAAAAGGTATTAGACAACATGCTTTCAACAAGTCAGTCCAAAATCAAAAGGTACACATTCGTGCATAAGCAGAGACCTAAAGCTGCTTAGTCCAACTGAGGGATCCCTTTAGGTATTTGCATGCCATGGGGTTATCAGTATCTCTCAATGGATCCATTATTTTACTGCTACCTGAGTTAGGGATTTTTATCATCCTTTTTGTGATCCTTCAGATCCTTCTGGCCCTTGGGGAATTCTCTGCTTAGGTTCTGACACAGACAGATAAGATTTTGAGAGTAAGGATCTGGCGTTTGACTTCTTTCTTTGCTTCATTTCTCTTCACTCACAAACTGAATGATTTCCCTGATGGGGTCATAGAATGCAGATCTCCCAATACCAGACAAAATGAGGGCCTATCTTGCTCTTCTTCCACATGAAGTCAAATGAGAGCATTTAATTACACTAGTCTCACCTCTTTTCTTATTCCCTCATGTTTATTTTTGGAATTGATACTAGTCTTCTTTAAAGCCTCTTCTTACTTGTTAGCTTTTGAGATACACAGCATCAGTAGCATGCTGTATTTCTATATACTCTCACAGCAGAAGCTGGTACAGTTTATTTGCTGAACTATAGTATTTCCTGACATTTACAGCTGTGTTTTGGAAATGAGTTGGAGATGTTTTGGAAATAATGTCGAGAACATAGCAGAGCAGAGCAATTCAAGCAGGCACGGGTGGTACAACTGTCGCTAGTTAAAAGCTACAGGCCCAACCGAGCCCGTGGCAGGACTCCCCTTCGGCCCAGCACCGCCTCATCTAAAGCTCTGAAGTACCACGGGCGGCTCAGCATCCTCGGGTCCCCAACCGCGTCCCCAGCTCCGAGCGCATCCATCCCCGCCCAGGGACCGCGCACCCCGCACCGGCCTCCGGGGGCCGCGGGAGAGGGGCACCCAACCCCGCCCTCCTACTGGGGTGCAAAGCCCCGCTCCCCAGGACGATCCCGCGGGGTTCTGCGATGGACACCCCCGGCACGGCCGCACTCACCCGTGTAGAAGGCGAGCACGGCGACGGGCGCTCCCAGGAGCTGGTCGCAGAGCACCTTGCCGAGCACGGCGGGCGGGCGGCGGCCGGGCAGCGCCCGCTCCAGCGCCCGCAGCCACACGTAGCTGAAGTTGCCGTGGAAGGCGAGGGCCACCAGCGCCACTCGCCGCGTCTGCGCCCAGTCGGGCGGGTGTCCCCCCCGCCGCCGCAGCAGCTGCTGAGCCGCGTCCCCCGCCGCGAACAGCCCCCCGTAGAGCAGCACGTTGCAGAGCCAGGGGAAGCGCCGCACCCCGCGGAGCAGCGCCCCGGCCATCGCCCGCCGCCTCTTCCGCCTCTTCTTCTTCCTCCTCCTCCTCCTCCTCCTTCTCCTCCTCCTTCTCCTCCTCACGGGCCCGCCCGCCGCCGCCCCGGCCCCGCCGCCGCCCTCGCCATCCCCGCGGCGTTCCCCGCTCGGGGATCCTCCCCTGACAGGGAGGGCCGGCTCCCGACGGCCACGCTGGGCTCCTGTGGGTGATCACCCGCTGGTCACTGGGTTCGTGGGCTTGTTTCTCAAGTGACCATACACTCACTCCCAAGATGTAGGTTACTGTGTTTCCTGGGCTTTGGTCGAAGTAGCACCATGGAGTCACTGTGCAGTATTGCTGCAACCCACAGAATCGATTAGGTTGGAAAACAACTCTGAGATCATCGAGTCCAACCTTTGACCCAACACCACCTCGTCTACTAGACCATAGGACTAAGTGCCATATCCAGTCTCCTCCTAAATACCTCCAGGGATGGTGACTCCACCACCTCCCTGGGCAGCCCATTCCAATGTCTGATCACTCTCTCTGTAAAGAACTTCTTCCAAATGACCAACCCAAACCTTTCCTGGTGCAGCTTAAGACTGTGCCCTCTTGTCCTACTGCTGTTTGCCTGGGAGAAGAGACCGATACCAATCTCGCTACAACCTCCCATTGACAGACAAGTGTAAACTAGGCACTGTTTGCTTATTTTTTAATTATCTCCTTGCTGCTTGGTTACATGAGTAGGTTATGGCTTTTTTTCTTTTCAATTTTGCTGGTGTCTTTGCACTTTGGTTTCTGCTACCCTGCTGAGCAGGGCCCATACACACCTGCTGAGCAGCAGCAGCAGCCCATAGGGTTCCTCCACTTCGCCCTCTGCTCCTGAGACAAACTGAGGACAAAGTCAGAAGTGATGTTTGGTTATTGAAGAGACTTGTGTACACAGCTCTGTGCACACAGAACCACAAAGCGGATCTGAAATCCATGTAAAAGAGCTGACACCGAGAGTGGCTCCAGTCCTGCAAGGCAGCCTTTGGCCACAGAAAACGAGGAGCGCAGCCGGGAGTTTCCCCTCGGTCCTGGCCATGGGCTCAGACTTGACCAAGGGAACCATCTCGAGGCTGGAGGCGGTAGTTCGCTCTGTGAACTGGAGCAATGCGATTGAAACTATCACGAAATCTCCCATGGATGACTATAAATAGGCGTGGACGGTCTGTAGGTTGAAATACCTTTCAGTGACAGTGCTGAGCGCGCTGCCCAGCGCTCGGCGGACACCCCGTGCCAGGGCCCACGAACTGCCCCTTCCAGCTCCTCATCCCGGTACATCCCTCCGGGAAACAACACCAACACCACCTGCAAGCGGTGCTACTGAATAATATCAACGGCGCTAAAGAGAAGAGGGATATGCCCAGAAATTAACTCCAGCTTGGAAGATCAGAGATAAAGCCCAGTAAAACCCCCGGTTTGTGGTTCCGGGGGCTGCCCGTGACAGAACCCGCCGGCAGGTGCGCGCTCTCCGCCGGGCTGTGCAGCGTTCCCGCAAAGGAAAGATCTGGTGCCACCGCAGGCGACAGCGGGGTGACAGCGGAGAGGTTCACGAAGGCTGGAGCCCCGGAGAGCCCTCCCGGGGTCCGGGCGGCCACGACCCAGCGCGGCGGGGACTCGAACCCGCGGCACAACGCTCCCGGCCCAGCCCCGCTACCCGGCCGAGGCCACGGCCGCGCGCGCCGCGCTCCCTGCGCATGCGCCACCACCTGTCACCTCCCCGGGACTGTTCCACCAGGCGGCGCGGGGGGGGGAGTGGCCGCGCTCTCCCCGGTCCCCTCGCGCCGCGCTCAGCGTGGCCGCCCCTCTGTGCCCCCCTCTCCCGCGGGGCGCGGTGGTGCGCGCGGCGGGGGGCGGTGCCCGGGCGCAGGTGAGCGCGCGAGCGCGGCCCGCCCCGCGCGGCCCCGTCAGCGCTGCCAGCGTGGAGCGGCCGCGCCGGGCCGGGGCGGCCCCGCCGACATGGACGGGCCGCTGGAGAAGGTCTGAGCGCGGGGACGGGACGGGACGGGACTGCGGTGGGGCCGCAGCCGCGGGGAGGGATCTGGGGCTCGGTGCTGCCCCGGTGCTAAGGCGGCTTCGCCTCCCAGAGCCCCCCCCGGGTGTGCCGCCCCCCTCCCCCCCCAGCCGCGGGTGTGACCAGCATCCGTGTCCCGGATCGGGAACTCGGGATAACTACCAGGAAATGCTTTGGGAGCGGGGTTTGTGTTTTCTTAAAAAAAAAAAAAAAAAATGGAGCTTATTTCCTGGCGGGGCGAGCCTTCAGCAGGACAGGAGGGGAAATGTTATTAAAGAAAATATTATTTGACTGGGGTTTTTTTTTGTCCATTTTATACGGAGGTGTTTGCTGCCCTGTGTTTGCTCTGCTGCCCAGTGCACTGTGCAAACATTGGCGGTGTAACACCGTGGCTGAGGGACAGAGCCCGTTCTGCCCCTGTCGCGGTGAGTCCGTGGGTGCCCCACGCCTGCGGGACACCCGCCCTCGAGGGGCTCCTGCCGCTTGTCCCCCTGCGTGAGGGCTGCGGGCATTTAGAATAATCAATATTTTGGGTGCTCAGGGGTTGGTACTGCACACACGCCCCTCCTTGCATCATCGGCTGTACGTTTGGTTTCATGGGATCCTTGGGATGGCCCAGAGAAGTTTGAATGGGATGTGCTCCGGTAAAATGGATGGTTAGGAAATCCAGGAAGCGCCTTCCTCATGTGGCTAAAGGGTTGGTAGCAAAAAAATTCGATATGCTGTATTCCACGTGAAGAATATGGTGTTATAGAGTATTTGGTGGTCTTTAAAAGCTTAAGTTCTTTACTAGTGCTGACAAAAGTTACAGTGATTGTTCCTTATTCTGAAAGGTTTTAGTTATGAAGTAAAACTTAATTGAAATAGTAGCTTAGAGTATGGTCTGTCAAATGGACTCAAAGAGAGTTAATGCAGTTGTTTAGAGAAGGTTCATTAGTACATGTCAGGGGTAGTACTGACAAGTTCTTAGAAATTTGCTTGACTAGTTCATCATAAGAAGCAATAAAACCACTGTGTAAGAATGAAATACCTGCAGAAAGTCCATGTTTTGATTATTTGTATTCTTGATGTAAGGAATAGTCTGTAATGGTGAGGGCCCTACAAAAATTTACATGTCTGTTTTCTCAATATATGCAGAGATGTGTATAAAGAGTTACTATTTTTTTACTTCCTCTCTTTATTGTGATAAAAGTTGTATTCCTCTGTATAATAACATGCCACAATAAGATTATGGTCTTGGAGCCACTTGGCAGTTAGTGCCCTCCTGGAATAGTCTGGTTAAGATTGTGGTAAATCTGTACAATTTGCATTTTTTCTAGTCTTGAATATGAGATGTCATGATGAGTCTTCTCCCTAAATAAATAAATTTCAAATTAATCCAAGCTGGGATACATTTATCTTCAGAGAATGTGTGTCCACTTATCTTGTGCTTATTTAAGCATTATCATAACAGAACAGAGACTCTCTTTTATTTGAACCGTGTATTGTCTCCTCCTCATGTTTTTATACATGCAGGTTATTGGGATGCCAGTGAGAAATACTTTTTAACTTGTATTCGAATTTGTCACAACTTTGTATTTTTCCTGACCATCTTGGTACAATCACCTAATTATCTGTAATGCAGTGGCATTGAGTGACTGCAGTCATTAGGTTCTTGCAAATGGAAAAAGACTTTTTTTAGCAGATGAGAAACTTCCTGAGAATTGAAGATGTTGCACAACAGGACTGCAAGGAAAACCATTGCAGAATTTGACACACAGGTGTGCACACCAAGTCTCATAGTTTGATTTTGAAAATTAACTTTGTTTTATCACACATTTTTTTTGTGGTTTTTTTTTTTTAATGTATTAATTGTGTGTCATAAGTGGTATAACTCCAATTCATTTTATCTGAAATCCAGAAATCTCTTTTGAGGTGAACTTCAAATTAAATTCTTCTGGAAGGCTGTGTTAAATCATAACTTTGGCTAACAGAGCTATGCTTTTTAAAATATTTTTTTATACACATGTGTATTTTTTTATTTTGATTTTTCCTCCATTTATATTTTGGTATAAGTGACCAGTTTTCTGAAGGATTTGAACATTTCAAGTTAGGTGACTTTGTCAGTGGTAAAACAGTGTACATTTTCCACTTGTAACTTCTTGCTGTCTCTACAACAGTGTTTTCCCTAAACATGAAAAACTGTTTTGGTTTCTTGCTCAGCCTGTGGCTTTTGTCTTCTGTTACTGTGCTATTTACCACAACATCCTGGTAATTTTACAGAAAACTCATGACAGCACCTGCATGCAGGTCCTGCTGCATGTCAGGAGATAATAAAGCTTCAAAGAGTAAATATCTATAAGCCTTGTGGTGACACAGTGCCATTTTCATTCAAGCCCAACAGTCATGAAATGGCTGCTTTCTTTTTTGTTATCTTAAACTTTTCTTAGCCTGGAGAATAAACACAATATTCTTTGGGCTGAATACTGATATTGTTTGAGATTAATTTAGTGTTGAGAATAGGTTTTGGGTTTTGATGGTAAAACTTTCTTTTAGGCAGTTAAAATAATGTAGTAGGTCACTCAGGTGTACTTCCCATCAAATAGGAAATGAGCTACACCTCTGAGGTGCTTTGCACACATATTAGTTTATGTAGTGTTTAAAAATCATCCCTTCATTTCATTAGGAGTGCAGCTACAGAAATGTAGAATCAAGATTGTTAAACAGTATATGAAGCAACATTCTCCTTTTTGAATTTGCACTTAATGTTCAGTCTTACCACAGCTGGAGAATGTCCCCTTATCCTTTCCCCAGCTGCCAAGTGACTCCAAGGTGTGACATAGTGCTCATAAAATCTTTAACAGTTTACAGTTCAAAGTGCTGAAAAGAACAGTACCAGATTGGTTACAGAATAGGGAAGTAACCACAAATCAACCCTGTTGCAGGCTAACCTCAGTGAATTGGATTGACACATCCTGAAGGCAGTGAGTGACAGAAGTCAAAGCAGGTCAGGGTGTGTCAGGGTCTCTGAGGGGCTGAAGGAGGCAGGAGGTGTCAGGATGCTGAACTGACACCTGGAAGGAAGAAGCTGTGGCTGGTGCTTCCCTAGAGCTTGGGAGGACGAGTCACATCTTGGAACTTGTGAGGTCAAAGGCTCCCCTGACTGTGAGCAGAGCCAGACCCTGCAGTACCAGGGGAAGGACTGAGTGCAGCTGCTTTAACCCCCTCAAAAAGTGTGTTGTCCTGTGGTTCAGGAGGTGATCTTCAAGAACTCATCCACCAGTCGTTCTTAAAAACAGTTTAAGACCATGAAAAAAGTATTCAGTTTATTTCTGGTTGGATTCTATATGCACTTGGTCTCATTTACAGACAAAACTAAAGGAATATACTACTTTATTATGGCATGTTATTAAAAAAGTTAGTTAAGAAACCTTTCTTAACTAATTGCTTTGTTGCTGCAACTCTGCCACACCTATTTTTCTTGCTGCTTAAAATAAGCAGATGTCCTGCTTCCCACCTCCATGCCCTTACTAATGTGAGCAGAGGAGGAGCATACATATATATATATATAAAAATATAAAATTCAGCATGCAGCAGTAAAAGGTGGGCTTTTTTCTCTTCCCATAATTCAAGGGAGAAACTAAGTTGCTGTATATCCACTTAGCAATTGGAAAAATTCAGACGGGATTCATTTCCCAATTAAGCCCACATTAGAATTCAAGGACTTTCTGGATTTCATAGCACTTTATGGAGCTTAGTGTATCTTCTTAGGAGTTTTGAAGCTGTATTTTATGTATTTACTCTGCCAGCTTACTGGCAGGAGGGTTTCATGGGTGAGTAATTATTAGTGAGGCAGGATGAGTCACAGGTGAGCGTGTGTGGTTTGTAACATATGATGTGAATTTGATGTTGGTAGCAAACAAAAGCAGCTCAGAGCCCTTTCTGTAAAGCCTCTGCATCTTGTGTCCTCACCTACAACAGAGCTGTTTGAATACTGGCACGTGATGCTAAGGGGGGTTCAAACAAGTAACTGCCTTCCAGCCATTGATCATGTTTTATGGCAGCCTGAATTAAATTATGTGAGATAATCACAATCAGCAAATTAGTCTCGTCATTTACTCCCTTAAGGGCTCCCAGGAGGAAAACTGTTTGGTTTTTTTTTTTTCCCTGAACTTCTTTTCAGGTTTTCTTTGACGTGGTGCAACTCTGCAAACCACTGCAATTGTGTGGAAATATTGCCAAAGATTATATTTAGGTTTTTTTTTTAGCTATATATATTGTATTCTCACTATTGAATGCTTGCAGTGTGTTGTGGATTTTTTTAATCCTTGTGATGAGGTCTTGAACTGTTTGTATTTGTACTGCTCTTTCACTCAGTACTAGATTAAGTTTTGGCCTTCATACCCAGTGGATTTTGTAGAAGATTGAAGTGTAAAAACCTCTTTATTGCTGAATGCTGGGAGTTCTGGTGGGAAAATATTACTCAATATTTGCACTGTTCTTTTGTTCCTCCCCCAAACATTTGTTACTGGCCACTTCTAAAGCCACAGGATAGAGAGCTGTCAGTCTGGGTCTGATCACTGTGCCCATGCCTGGCTACTGATTCTTTCACCCACCAACCACTTGCTATGATACGAGTTAAATCTCAAAATATTTTGGTAAAAATAGTCTTTGAACATATGGTAGCTCTCAACTTTTTTTTGTTTGTTTGTTTCTTGATCCGTCCTCCAGATGAAAAAAGTGTAAAATCCTCATTTAAATGAATCCCACTACCTTCAGTGATTAAATTTGCTTTTGTGTCTGCATCTGCATGAGCAAAGGCATTTGCCTCTGGTGCATGTGTTCCATCAGCAGTAATGGAAAGTTGGCCTGTAGGAATAATTCTGCTAAAATACCATAGCAGACAAGCTACTCTGGATCCCTGCAGTGGGGATAGTGTATGTTCAAATATTAAACTTGTTTGGGATTTTTTCTTTAAACAACCCCCACCCCTTACCCTGGTACCCCCCAGCCTCAGCAGCCTGCAGGGGTAACTCCCAGAGGCTTTGGTGGGTGGGCTGATGGCTTGAAAAAGGGTTGGTGTTGAATTTGTGGAGGCTCTGCAGAGGCAGGAGAAGAGACTCTAACAGGGTCACCTGAGTATTTCAGGGTTCTCTGCTGTCTAATGTGAGGGGTCTTACCAGTGGTGTTGCCTTCTGCCTTCATGTTGGGGCATATTGATTTTTCAAATACCATTCAATATTGATCACTGTAGGTAAATCAGACTCTGCCAGATGACACCTTTCACATTCTCTGGAATCTTCAAATTGGAAGCATCTAATGGGATTTACCCATTTAAATGGGTAAATGTTCCTGTCCAGATCTCCTGTGTCAGTGCCACAAGCTTCTGTCAGGCCTCTTGGGTTAAAGTTCATAAAAGAGACTTCTTCAGAGCAGAAGCAGTTGTTTGGGAAATGCTGTTTGGTTGTCTTTGAGGTGATCGTTGGTTCAGGAGAAAAAATAACTAATATGGTACATAATTTTTTTTTAGTTCAAGCATTATAAGGAGCACTTGAACATTTATTTGTCTGAAAAAAAAAATCTGACTTTCCTTGTGGAGAAAAAGATTGGATCTATCAATAATAAAATCCACATCACAGCTGAGTTTTCTTTTGGTTTATTTTAGGTTAGTAGGATTTTTCTCATTTTGTATGTTTTGAGTTCAGGATATTCAACATATTTTAAATGACTACTTACAGGCTTATTAAAAGAATCTGGCCAGTGCATGAATTTGTATTGAGGATGCTGTGGGGACAGTAGTAAGATAAATGGTTTTTGATCTTTTCTTAAAAGTTGTTTTTTTTTTTCCTGAAAGATGGTTGACCCTACTCTGGCAGAAATGGGAAAGAATCTGAACGAAGCCATGAAGATGCTGGAAGACAATCAGAGGTACATGCAGAGGGTATAATACAAACCCAGCAGCTGTTTGTGCTAAGGGGAGGGTTATTGGTGTTGCTGGCATTAAGCAGAAAAAACCTCATTTTCTTAGTAGTTTAAGGTCATATTGGCATTCTGAGGTTTACACTTCTGCAAATCACTGTTGTTTCTCAGATGATGGGATTTTTAAAGTAAATGTACGTATTTTTATGCATGTTCTGTAATATTCAGAACATGTCCAGTGAGCCTGATTTTTCAGAGATGTGAGATTTTTTTTATTATTATTGCAGTGCAGGTAATTTTTAATTAGTGTATGTATGAGGCTTTTCTGTAAGCTTTCTGTTTAAGAACAAAAACCGAAAACTTGGGAACTCTTTAATTCAGTCTGAGCTAAACTTTTATGTTGGTCTCATCTGATTTGTTTCTGAACCTGTTGTCAGTGAAATAGATTGCAAACAGGTCAGTATGTATTTCTGCAAGTCAAAGTCAGTTACTTATTTGATGTTATAAACCACAAACTAAGTGCATAGTATATTCTTGTGTCCTTAACTTAGAAAAGTGGAGGAGGAAAATGAAAAGAAATATGCACGGAAGGACATTCCTGGACCACTCCAAGGCAGGTAGGCAGCAAGAATTTTTAGATAATGCTCTTTTCAAAATCTGTAAAATATACATAGTGTGTTTGTCTTCCAGGCAACTTTAGTATTAATCATATATCATATATAATCATTAACTGTAGAATATACTGAGTTGGAAGGACCCATCAGGATCATCAAGTCCAATTCCTGGCCCTGCACAGGACACCCCAGTGCAAACATTAACATTTTCCAGGCATTATTAATAAACTTTTTCCCATAGTCACAAAGGGGAAAAAATAATATTATCATCATATCAACTATTTCCATACTCAGGGATAAAAAAGAAAGAAAGATTACTTGTCCTTGGTAACTGAAATTGTGAACTCTTGGAATCTGATGAAGTATTGATGCCTATGGCTGTGGTTGCAACTCAAAGCAAACATAAACAAACTTTTGCTATTGAATTAAAGCACCTGGATTAAAAAAAAAATGCTGAGGATGATAAGAGAGAAAACCTTAAAAAAACCCAAAACAACCCCCCCCCACCTTTTCAGCACAACTGTCTTCAAAAATTAAACAGAACTCTTGTGCATGAGACAGGTAAGGCCATTGTACCTGAAAATTAAGATGTAAATTGATTGTGTCCTCTTTGGAAGACAATCCTGCAGGAGCTCAGGTTAGCAGTACAGAAAGTATTGCAAAAGCTATTTAAGTCTTTAGTGTACAGAAGATAAACCTGGTTTTGAGTGGAGACACTGAATTATCTTTTCTATGAATAAAAAGCAATTTCAATGGTCAGAGGGTAAGTTCTTACACTACTGTAAATATTAGTTGAAATTATAAAAGGTGAAGTGTTGTGGATCTTTCCCAGTTTCATCATGTTAGAGTGCATCATGTCAGGAGTCTAACATAGCCTGTATTTGCCAGAAACTGATATTTGTGGGTAATTGTTTAGGAGATTGCTGAGTTATGAGCTGAAGCTGGTTCACGTGAAGAAAAATGCAGATCCTCAGATACTCCTTTCCTTTGCTCTGAGCAGTAATGCAGTGTTGTCAAGTCAGACTTTTCAGTCCAAGTGTCCAGATATCAGAAGATTTGTTTTTCTCAGTCTCCTACAATAATTAAGTAGAGTTTTGAATTCACTGATTCAGCATCCTCATCTTTGTGGTCTGTTTTTCTGAGAGCGAGGAGCCGTTTTTGCTGCTGTTCTTGACATTCAGCAGAAGTTCATGTCTCGCTGTGCAGTGTCCCACATGGCCTCTTTTAGATGCTGGGACTTACCCTCCTTTTTGTTTTTTAATGTGGGTTTTGTTTTCCCCTCCCAGTGGCCAGGATATGGTGAGCATACTTCAGTTGGTTCAGAACCTAATGCATGGAGAGGAGGAAGAGGAAACTTCTCAGTCCTATCGGTAAGGCCAATATCAATTACTGTATGTGGAGGATACCTGATTTTATTATATCCTGATTATTACAGAGCTTATACATTAAAGTATAAGTTCTATATATGTATATGTAATTTCTATATATATTTAAATATTAAATATTTTCAAGTGTAAAATATCGTGCAACCAGGTAATTTTTGATGGCACCTTACTTTGTATAATGAAGCAGAATAATCCATGAGGCTTGGCTTTCTTAAAATTATAAAGCTTTCATTACTAGTTACTAAATTGAATTTTACAAGGGATTTGTTTCTGATGTGACAGCTCATTTTTTCTACTTTCTGAAAGTTGTTTTAAGTCTGAAAGTCTTCATGCTTTGAATACGAATAATTTTTTTTACCATGTATCTCTGCAGATTTAGAAATAAAATTTGTTTCCATTTTTCTGTCAGATGGAAATAATACTAACTAATCTGCAGAAGATAATTGAAAACTTAATATCTGAAGAACATTTTGGGGATTAAAAAGACACCTAAAACCCACAAGAAAAAAACAACCAACAAACAAAAACCCCCCGTGAAACAAATAAAAACTGTGCCTCTAAAACTATTAAGTCTCCTGAGTGTCCTCTGCATGGGGAGAGAGAGGGAATGTGTTTGATGCACTTTAAAGTCCCAATGCAGATAAGATGCTTAGTTCCAACTCCTGTTGGCTGATGGGCTCAGAGGCAGCTGAGGTGTTTCTAGGCCAAGTGCAGTGCAAGAGCTTCTGTGCACTGGCAGTTCAGTGTGTAATGCACAGTGGCAGGAGGGTGACTGTCATACACTGTGCTTCTCTCTGCTAAATATTTAAATTGCATGTCAAGGAATTCTGCCATTCTACATTAAAAACTCATAAACCTAAATTTACTGTAATGTCCCTGGCTTGTATTTCATTGGCAGTTACTCTGTTCTGCCTTGCAGACTCCAAAATGTTGGTGAACAGGGTCACATGGCTCTACTGGGGCATAGTTTGGCTGCTTATATATCTGTGCTGGACAGGGAAAGACTGAGAAAACTTACAACAAGGATCCTTTCTGATACTACTCTCTGGCTTTGCAGGCTTTTCAGGTGAGTCACTGGGAATAAGTTATGTGTGAGTAGGTAATGATGATTGTTTAAAAATGTGTGACTGGACTGAGGATGTCAACAGAAGAACCAACACACTGTGCCACAAGCTTACAAATATTTGAAAGGTCTGAAACACAACCTTAACTTAGCCTAAAGAATGTCAGGTTGCATTCTCTTTAAAATTAGCAGTCCAGAATTTACATATATATTAACACCAGAATGAAGCCTTTAGTGTGCTTCCTGCTGCACTCTGCTCTTAGTAAGCAAGGTTTTGAACTATGGAACTATGTAAAGGCAATCTTAGGAACCCAGATGTTTTTCCTTTCTTATTCTATCTTTATGTCTAAATGAAAACATATACTAGGCTCATTGTTTAATCTTGGCCTGTCTTATCGAAGTTGTCTTCTAATCTGCTTTAACCTGGGAAAAGAGAAGGGTTTGGTATCATTTGTCCTCCGCTGAGCACCTTTGCTGGTCAGTGTTATTTTAGTCACTATTGGTTTTGTTGGTCATATTTTCTTGGCTTTTCTTGCAGGTATGAAAATGGATCAGCTTATTATCACGAAGATGATCGTGAAGGTCTCCTAAAAATCTGTCGCCTCGTTATTCACACGCGCTACGACGATTACACAATCGAAGGGTTTAACGTGCTCTGTTCTAAGCAGCCTGTCATATACATCAGTTCTGCAGCCAGGACAGGCCTGGGCCAAGCTCTCTGCAATCAGGTAAAGTCAATCAGTTGGGGATTTGGCTGCAAGCAGAGCTTGCAAGTAGGTCTGGGAAAAATACTTTGTTTTCATTTACTGCCTGTGTTTTGCAGCAGCATTACAGTGGGAGGAAGAGAAATTTTCTGCATATTTCCAGTGAAAGGATCCTATGTGCTAACTTTTTAAAAAATGAGTGATTGTTTCTACATTGCACACTGTGCTTTACGTAAGATGTTGGCCATGGTGCAACAGACCCGAGCCCAAACACACTGAATTATTGCAAAATTAGTACTGAATGATGCCCCTATACTGCTATGTTCAATAAATATTTATATTTTTTTTAAAGAAACACTGTTGAGGGAGGAGTAGGCTGTGCTGACACAATTTCAGAAGGTCTTGTTTGAGATAGTAAGATTACCCCCAGAACCCAGCACTTCAAAGAAACCCCTTTTTTCCTAATTATGCTTAAAACTTACTGGTTTTTCCAAGTAGTTATTTGCATGAGTGTTTGTAGACTTAAATAAGCTAATTGAGCCATATACAGACTTTCCTATGGCCTATCTAACATTTGGTGCACTGGTGATATTTTTCACACACAACATGCACTCAAAGGAAGAGTTGAGTTCTTGGGGCCTTTGGTTTTTAAACCCTTGGCAATGGCTGGCAGAGGTACTACTCACAAATCAAAAATGAGGACTGCAGAGAAATGAAAATCGTATCATAGATGGAACTTGTCTCAGTCAAAATGTCTTGGGAAGTAGGTGGTAAAAGTTCACTGAGTAAGTCAGTGTCCTTGGTAAGCCAAATGTATGCATATTTTGGGAGCCTCTTGCTTTTGAGTACAGAGTAGATTCTGCTGGTAACGTTGGTGCCTTATCTTTTGTGTATAAGGTAACCTGGCCACCATTAGGTGATCACTGAACTTCGAAGTGATAACATTTTATCTTCAATTTCGAGAAGGAATGTATATTGTAGTGCAGGCAACTGGAACAGAGTTATCAGACACTACTTCAGTCTCTTAGATGAAAGGACAAAAGTAAACGAGTCTGTAACTGTAGTTCTCTTATTTTGCTGAATCTTCTGTTCGGTGATGGGTAGGAATGATCAGCTGGATTTCACTTGTCTAGTGATCTTTACTCAGTAGTGAAGTGACTGTGAACTTCAGTGGGACATGGGACAAAGCACACGTTTGCTTGCAGGATGTGTTGATTGCAGGGGTGCCCAAGTAAAGGGCTGAGATCAGGCACAGGGATCTCACTGAAAAATCTGAGTGCAGCTGACGAGTCAACTAAAAACTGACTATTGTTTTTCTCTGCTATTAATTTGATTATAAGTTTTAGCAGGAAACTTACTTTATAACATAAATTAAGGTTTCTATTGTGGTACTGGTTTCTGTGTATTTCTGTGAACGCAGGAAATGTTTCTCAGTGGCTGAAATTCCAACATTTTTATTGCAGCTGGGGTTGCCCCTTTCCTGCATGTGCCGTGTGCCTTGTAACACTATGTTTGGATCTCAGCACCAAATGGTAAGTTTGTCTTTCCTAAGAGCTCTCTGGTTATGCTTTTTTTTTTTTTTTTGGTTTTTTTTTTTAGCCTAATTAAATGAATGTCAATTATGTTGTCAGGAAAAGCTTGTTAACATACTTTCAACCTCTAAGTCTTCTGTTTTATAGCTGCACAAATCACAGATGGAAATTTTCTAAAAGCAGCTTGGATCCTGGTCTTGTAATTTGCAAAATATTTTTAATGGTATTTAAGTAAGGTGCTTTTTAGTGCAAGATTTCTAAACCACGAGTACTCGGAGGTACCTTTACAAACTACATGATGCATCTCTGTTGTATTTTTCACAAGTGCTTTATTTGACCTTCAGATTATTTTGCCTTTGAGAAGAAGAAGCTGCAAGCCACAATCATGTCCATTTCTGGTTTTAATGCATTTTTCCACTTCAGGAGAAACAATTTGGTGTTTGACAAACATATTGTTTTCTTATTGATAACAGGATGTTGCTCTGTTGGACAGAGTGATTAAAGATGATGTTGAGTCTGGAAAACTGCCTTTGTTGCTTGTGGCCAATGCTGGTAAGTGCTATGGACAAACAATAAAAAATAAACCCTGCTATTTCACAAATACATATATAATATAAAAATAAAAATATATTTGCTTAAGCAGCTTAGTGGTTGCATATCAAGAAATATCTTAATGACCACACAATAATTATCTGTCTAGAGGGGTTTTTATTTAGCTGATTTTAAGTTGGATTATACTGCTGCAGTTCTGCTTACGTCAGCTGAGGTATTAATATGACTATAACTTATTTTAGTGAGTGCAAATCTCTTGTTGAAAATCAGTTTCACGTTAACACTTCGGCATTTTTTGATGGATGTGCCATCAGCTTTAGCTTGAAAAATTTCATTTTTCTTCTAGTTAACTAAACGCAACCGCTTGTGCACAAAATTTGCTCAGAGTACAAATGATGGAGGTGACTGTTAGTTGCTTTGGAGTTGGAAAAACACCTGAGATGTTAACCAGTACGAGAGGTGCTTTATGCAGAGCCTGGTTTGCAGGCTGACCCTCTGTCATTCCCTCTCCCTGTCCAACCAAGGCACTCCCGGCGCGGGGCACACGGACAAGCTGGGCCGGCTGAAGGAGCTCTGTGAGCAGTACAACATGTGGCTCCACGTGGAAGGGTATGGAGCTGGGAATTTAGTTCCCTATAACTGTGTTCATTACAAAGTCTTAACTAATTCTTAGCATGCAATTTTACAGCTAATCAGCTGGTAGGGAGCCCCAGGGCCAGCTTTATTTTTGTCATATTAAGCGTTTTATATGGTTATAATTTGGTCGTTTTGAGATAGAAATTGATTTACATACATAGGAAGAATTAATTGGAGAGGTTATTTCAAGATAGATTAGTGATTGCTTTTATTCATATGGTAATCTTATCTGCCCTTTCTTTGAAGAGCTTGAAGTATGAATTAAAAGACCTTCTAGGCCAGGGAGGCCTAAAAGACCTTCTAAGTGAGGGAGGACATTCTACAGTGATTATTGAGCATGAGAAGGGAGATTGAAATGAGTGTGGAATAGATGACACTTTATGAAGGTTGTCAAGAAGGCTGCAGCAAGTGCAGTGTGCATCATAACTGAGGGGGGGATTAAACCAAGAGAAAATGACATTCCAAGAACTTCGACAGTGTCGGTGAAGACTCCAGTGCTGCAAGTTTGAGGCTGGAGTAGAGAGACTGTTTCTCTTGGTTCATAGTATAGTGTTATATTTGCATACTATTTATTTCTGATACCAAATTGATGCTAAGTTATGAGTAGCACTTTAGGGGATGATTTCCCCAAAGGTTGGACGGAAACACTTTTAGGTTGAAATGGATTTTTACTTTTGAATTTCAGTCTTGGAATACCAAGTAGCAACATCTACTGCATTGTTAATGAAAAATATATGAACAAAAATTATCTCCCTTTACACATCAACATAGAATATTTAAACTGCAGATTAAAATTCTGTCTGTTAATATATATTTAATATGTTCTAAACCCACTTTTTCTTTCAGTGTGAATCTGGCAACTTTGGCTTTGGGTTATGTCTCCTCTTCTGTACTGGTATGTTTGCTCTAGCTAGAAACTTAATAATGTGCTCTAGATTTTAAGGTTATGATCTAATCAAAATAAAATGGCTTTACATTCTGCTTACTGTAATAAACTTCAGGCTGCTACAAAATGTGACAGCATGACTCTCACCCTGGGTTCCTGGCTGGGGCTCCCAGCTGTGCCTGCAGTGACACTCTACAGACACGAGGATCCATCCTTGGTAAGTTCAGCTTCTCGGTCAAGCCCCTGAAATTTTGATTTTGATCACGGTGTAGTGTCTTGTTCTTGATAAACATCTAAATTATAATTTGCAAAAGCTGGCAAAAATGGCAGCATTGAAGAGAGGTTAATAGTGTTCTGTTCATTTTCCTCCTCAGTCCTTGGCAGCCGGGCTGACATCGAGCCAGCCCGTGGAGAAGCTCCGTGCCCTGCCCCTGTGGCTCTCCCTGCAGTACCTGGGTCATGATGGCATCGTGGAGAGGATAAAACACGCCTCTCAGCTGGTGAGCAACAGCTTAGGAGTGTGTCCTGATAGCTGTCAATAGATTCTTTTGATGGCTGTGATGCACTGTAGAAGAATCAACTAAAAATACTGGAGTTGTTGACAGCAGAGCACATTGGTTCATGTTGTTACACACAAATGATGAAAGCAGAGGAGAATGGGGGAAGGATGTGCTTTTACTGTTAGATTGTATTTTTTTTTTAATCAAGACATAATCACTCTTTGTTCTTTCTAACCAGTGAAATAACACAGTCACTTCCTTTTTTTGTCACTTCTCTTAACTGGTTTTGCTTGAAAGCTGTTGAGAGAAAGGCTTTCTCATTTTCCCACTGTGCTTGGTATCATATTTATTTAAGTAATAGTAAATTACTTTTAGGAAGAGGACTTCAAAACATTTCTTGAGATACAGTGGGAAGTGCACTATTTTTGAAGTAGAGTCCTTACCTTAGTAAAAATAAGGTCTAGTATAATGTGTTAGTTACAAAATGTGTTGTTTACATACAAAACACTTTCTTAAAAGTGCAGCACATACAGAAAATCAAAGAAGGGCAAAATGGAAATGAGAAGTCTCTGTAGTGGTTAGTGAAGAAGCTCTTGGCTTGAAAGACCTAAAAGAGTGAGAGAGTGTCATTAGTCATTCATATTTTGTGGCATCTAAGATTGATCTTAGTTTTTATAATAGTCTATTAATAGTCTTAAACCACAATGTAAGAATGTCTTTGTAAGAGGAACATGTTAGGAAGCCACCATGTGAGAGCTTTGAGAAAGTTAACTTTGCTACAGCACTGCTTTAGTTGGTCACTGGAGTTGTAACATATCTGGAACTCTGTCAGCAAATACACCAAGACTTTATTTTAGTGAAAATCACTCTGTAGTCAGTGTCCTACTAAAACCAGACAATATTTTTCTCTTACATTCTAAATTTACAAATAAAAATTGAATGAGTCTCTGAGGTGTTGTAGGGGTTTGTTCAAAAACAGGAAGTTACTGTTTAATGTTTTTCAGAATAATTTTCAACTTCTAAAACTGTGTTTCTCTCATTTTTGTTCCCCCTCTGCTGTGGTCTTCTAGAGTCAAAGGCTGCTGGAAAACCTGAAAAACCTGGATTTCATTAAAACTTCGGTACAGTCTACTTCTGATGCTTTGGTTATATAGCTTAGTGTCTGTCTGTTAAATGATAAGAATAACTTTGACTAAAATAGATATTTAAAAATATTGCTTAAATCATAGCCATTGTTTTGAAGATGTTTTCTGACCAAGCTCAGTGAAATGGCTTGTTTGTGTGTGACCTCTAGATTGTGTTTGTTCCACTGCTCTGTGCTCATTCTCTGGAGCTGGCAGAGTAACATCCAGAAATTGTGTTCAGAAGTTGATTTAATTCCATTTAAAACATGGATTTTCTCAGTAATACATCTATGAAACCAGTTTCCATAAGTCTCATATATTCTGTCTGCATCTTACCCTGCTGTTGAGATCATCCTGAGAGCCCTGTGAATTGTACAACAAAAATTATCCCAGCTGAGGTTTTTACACCAGAAATAGCTTTAGAAATTACCTACAATATATTCATTCCAAATTCAGCTTCTGTGAGATGTAGAAAATGTAGTCAGTTTATTGAGTAAGCTTTAGAGTATTAATGGCCTCCGAAGTTGAAGTTACTGTCTCACTTACCCTTTCCACTTAAACAAATCCTGCATCTTTAGGATTGTGAAATGCAGCCTCAGATTGCCTCCACCAGTTGCCCAGTCCATTTCTCCTATCCCCAGGGCAGGATCAAATATAATCTTATTATTCCTGCTGGAACTTCCTGGATGTTTCCCAGTGATTCTGGGGTGATTTCCAAGAGAATTTTTTTAATGTTAATATCTGAAAATACTCAAAACTAAATAAACTTTTTAATACTTACTATAGTATATTTGCTAATCACCATGTTTAAATTTTATACTTTATCGTGCCCAAATTTTAAAGATGCATACCTTAATTGAATACAGTTCTGCCTTAAATGACTAATGATTTACTTTCCTGTGTTTAGAGATGTTTGCTTCCACTCCTGGAGTTCACTTCCAATACTGAGATAGTGTGAACATTGTTACTGCTGTCAAAACAAAATGCTCTGCTCACACTGTGCATAATAAGGAATTATTTCCTGTATTTTTTAAAGATTTAACACTGTGCATAATAAGGAATTATTAATATTATTATAATTCCTTATTATTCACAGTGTTAAATCTTTAAAAAATACAGGAAAATATATCTTTTTTTTTTTTTTTAAGGTTGAAGATGAACTGAGTTCACCAGTGGTGGTTTTCAAGTTTTTCCAGGAATATTCAAACAGAGGTATGTGATTTATTGAAAACCAAACCAAAAAAAAAAAACATCTCTTTACAGTATTTTAAACTAATAATGAATTCACTAAATGAATTCGAGATAAATGTTATGTAGTGCACTTTGTGTAACATGCTTTTTAAAAGCTTGTGAATGCTGGTCATAATCTAGTGACGGAATCCATACACGTGACAGCTGCTTTTTTTAGATAGACCGCAGTGTTTTAAATTTTCATAACAAGTAATTTTCTGCCTTCTTGAGTGAGGAGAGATTTGCATATGATTTTGATCTTGAGAGCAGATGATGGAAACCTCTCACAAGCTGCAGTGTAAGCTCTTGGTTTGTTCAGGTTTTCTGTTCCTTTCAAACACTTTGTGGCAGTGGCAAGCACCACGTGTCTCTGGTTCACTGATTACACTTGGCTGTTGCAATAAATTAAAAAGCAGCAGAACACATTAAAAACAGCTCTGGAAATGCTGTCATGGGTATCCAGGAACCATGTGTGTCTCTGAGCAGAACACCTGCACTGAGATGTGCTCCCAGAAAAGAGGATTTTGTCCCCTCAGTTCCAGCAGAGGATGTTGCTGTGCTGTTTGTATGTGCACTCCCTGAGGGTGGGAATGTCTCCGTGGCTGAGGCAAAACGTGTGGTTTTGTTGTGAGTGTTGGTTTTAATTGCCTGTGAATTTTTTCTGTTGGGCATGAGGGAGTATTGATTTGGGGTTTAATCTAATTAACAGTTGTACTCACAAAGTAAACCTATTCATCCAGCTCCAGTGACTTGGTGGATTACTTTGTACATTGATTTGAAAAGCTTTTCTAGGGAGAAGTCACCCACCTGAATTACAAGGATGTAAAATGTCCATTTCTGCATGTCTTATGTTTATAATGGACTCTTAAATTCTTAGTAGTATCTTTGTATGGCTTAAAACCAAGTAATCACTAAAACTTGATTTAAAAAAAAAAAAAGGCTGAATGCATCAAATTAAATATTGCAGACTGCTGTGACAGAATTTTGCTTTGTAAAAACACTGAGTTTATTTCCACTGGGGCATTTGAGCCTCAAAACTCAGAAGTATTTTACTGAGTTTTTTTAAAAACAATTACATTCAACTCTGTTTTACTTCTAGTATTTATCATGTTCAACATACCTCTGCAAAGAAGTCCTTGTTGGTCTGGCTGACGCCCCAGAACATGGTGTAAATGCATTACATTATCTAGGAAATGTAATTGTCTTTTATCTAAATTTTTGGTTGCCTTTTGTTTAATTAAGTAAATAAAAATCAACTTCTGTGATTCTTGTATCTTTGGATTCAGATCAGACCTCACATGCTGCACAGGCCTCAACTATTCAGCACCCCATCATAAGCAATGAAAGACACATTTATGACACTTTCAATCAGTGGGTAAGAACTGATGCTTTTCTCTTTAGGGAAAGTGAAGTGACAGTGGAATGGTTCAGGGGTTCATTAGGATTTATGAACCCTTTGTTAGACTAGTTTGAAAGTTAAACTAGAGGGTATTTTGGATTTAAAAGATTATTTTGCTCTGAAGCAAAGCTGCTTTCACATTTCTGATTATTTTCCATATAATTACTACTGAAATCATTCCTGCATCTTAAGCTGTTGGCTTTTCTCTTGGTCTTGTGGGAATATATGAAAACTTTGGAATTCTTTTAAATCAGCCAGACACACTGTTGACAATATCTGTGTATTCTTGAATAGACAGCCTTATTTTCCAGCTCTGGAGGGTAAATTGTAGAAACCTGTGCTGTCCGAGAGCTGAGCACATGGCTGGGATGGGTTGGTTGTGCTGTAACCATGGCACACTTAATGGCAGGGACAATTCTGCAGAAACTTATGATTTGTAACAATTGTAGCTTATCCTGAATTTTCTTCATTTTACGGATATGTCAGAGTCAGATCCCCAGCAAGCCTGAACTGTTTTGGTACAAGAACTCATTTTGAGAAATACGGAGAACTCTTTGCTGTGGGCACAGCCTGAGGCAGGGGCTGCAGGAGGTCAGGATGCTCTGTGTGCTTCTCTAACTGTGCCCTGTTCCTGCAGCTGGGAGAGCAGCTGGCACAGCTGGTTCCTGCCAGTGGAGTGGATGTGGTAGAGCTGGAAGATGAGGGCACGTGTGTGCGGTTCAGCCCCCTGATGACTTCTGCAGGTAACACTGCATTCAGCCCCTTGGAAAAGCTGGCATTTGCTGGGGGATTGTACAACAGTCTCCTGCTGTAAAAGCAGAGGTGCTCAAGAAACTCCTCCCCTGTGGTGAAGATTTTCTCATAAACAAAACAAAACTGTCTCAGTTTTATCGTTCTGCTGCACCTTGGCACTGGGTGCATTAGAGGTGGCTCAGCTTTGTGGGTGACATTGCCTCACCACCTCTGCAGAGAGAGACTTTTAAATTCATTAAGAAAAGCAAGGGGAGAAGCTGTTTGCTTCTAACAGTTACATTCCTTCCCTGAGCTGCTAAACACCAGATGCCTGACCTTTCTACCCAGGGGCTTCAACACTGCCAGGTGCTTGTGTTCAAAATATAGCTACTTAGGTAGAATAAGTATTTACTAAATCTGTGGGGTTTTCTATAATTATTGTTTTCCAAAACCTGTGTTTTGGAAAGTGTCTTAAATTTCAGGTTTAAGCCAGAACTGTTGTGCTACTTAGTTTAGCCTTGGCAGAGTGCACATTGCAGTTTGTGCAGGGGCTCAGGGTGATGCAGTATATCCTGTTAGCTTGGGGGGGATGGCTCATGTGAGAGGGTCCTGATGTGCACTGAAAAACAGATTTTAGAATAAAATGACTTGGTGATGCTCTGATGTTTTGTTTTAAACCAGCATGGGAGCTAATTCATGACCAGCTGGTCTATGGGAAGAGGATTTTTTTCTGACGCCAGCTACTGATGTAATGAAAAAGTATATTGTAACATATCCTTATTAGTTTGTAACATGAGAAAATCCTTTTTATTAGCTTTTTATGAAATCCTTATGTCTTTTAATTTTGATGTATCAGGGGATAGATAACTGAAGAAAAACACATAGATCAAGATATTCAATGCTGTCTGTAAATTCTATTTATGACTGACTTGAGACTTCTTCACAGATTACTTAATTCAGACATCTCTGTGATGTCCATCACATATATCACTCACTACCACCTCTGCTTTTTAGTTTTAGGAACTGAAATACAAGACATTGATCAGTTGGTGGACTGCTTGAAGATGAAGATCCCAGTATTGACAAGCACTCTGCAGCTGAGAGAGGAGTTTGAGCAAGAAGCGAGAAGAACAGCTGACCTGTTGTATATTGAAGATCTTGGCTGGCCAGGGTTAGGTGTTGTAAGGTAAATTATTTTCTTCTTTCTGTATTTGGATAGACTGTGCTTTAACAGGCAGAAATACGTGGTCTCTTCAGTGGTGATCTGGATGTATCATTTGCTGGTTATTATCTGGTTTTGCACCCAGTTAAAGCTTTTGAGGGCTTTATAATGTTATTTAGTTTGATTGTGTTTTTTAAAGAAAAGCTGAAGAGCTGTTTTAGCAAAATTAGGGCACCAGTTGTAGCATTGTAGCCAGTGTGTGGCTCTGTTAGAGGGATATGTGATGTGCAAGTGCATCCTCTTTTTAGCCAAGGGTAACTTACGTTTTTATCTGTAATGGCACTCACTGATATGCTGAATAGCACTTGGAAAAAAACCTCCAAGTGCCTGTTGTGATCCTTTGGGAAGGCTTCTGTATAGTCAAAACAGTTCAAGTATAATCAATATATCAACTAGAAATCTATTGAGTTTGCAGTAGCAGACTCGCCCCACCCCAGAATCTTTGTTTACAGCCAGTAAACTTGCTGATCTGAGCTGTAACATTCAAAAAATACAGGAATTTGTAGAAATATGCTAAACGTGCAGGTATTTTTGTATGTACTGTAAAGTAAAATTACTATTTCTTGGCTTGAAGGTACAACTACCACAGTGATGAGAAGAATGATGACAAACAAGAAAAAGAACTAGAAAAAATCAATACAGAACTTCTGAAGAAGTTAAATGAACTGGAATCAGATCTCACTTTTTCTTTGGGTAACTGCACTGTCTGTTCAAGCTAACAGTCATTGTCCTAGCTGTGTTAGAATGGTTTGATAGGTCATTACAGTGCAAAATTAGCTGCTGCCTATGTGGTTACTGCACAAAGGACATCTGTAACTGTTTCCTCCCCCCTGTTTCAGTTGGGGGGAAGTGCACTGTTCCCAGAAGTACTTGTGAAAACTGATTTATGGGCAACTAGACCAAGAAGAGTTCCCTTGTCAGAAAGACTAAAAGCTGCAGTGTCCCTCTGTGTAAACTCAGCCTTCTCAGGTTGTGCTGGATCTAGTGAAAAGCAGATCTCATTCCAAACCCACTGGCACTGATGGTTTCACTGCTCTCTGTAGCTGGATTAAAAGCTTCAGATGACTTTTGTGATAATTAGCACTTTCACATTTACACAGTTCCACATGATAGCTGCAATAGCATTAATTTGCTTACTCAGAACTCTGATCTTTTTCCAGTCAGCTTTCAAGAATTAAGTGCCCTACAGTTGTGGAACCAAGTAAGCTGTACATGGCAAAAAATTAAGAAGTTTGAAGCATATTTAACACTGATATTTATAATACACTCCTTGACTGTATAAAATACCCACTGTTTTTCTTGCTGAGATTATGTTTTCTGTCTTTGAAAACCCCCAGAGCTGAACTTTTTTGGTCTACATAATTTATACCCATGCAGATCCTGCCTTTAATTCCTGAAGGCTGTGTGTGTATTAGGATTTCCAGATTGACACACATGAGTGTTGTAGCCATTGCAAGATTGTGCCAGATTTGTACATCACAAAGACTTGATTCTCCCTGTGCTCACAGGTCCAGAATTTGGGGGGCAGAAGAACTGTGTTTACATTGGAATGGTCACAGAGGATCTGGATGTGTCAGAGTTGGTTGAAACCATTGCAGCAACAGGCAGAGAAATTGAAGAAAATTCCAGAGTATGTATTAATAAATCACAGAATATTTCAGTACCCTTTTTTTTCCCCTTTCATATTGGCTTCAGGACATGGTTTTGTTCTTTGTGAAAGTAAAAGTTGTACTCGCCCACAACAGTCTTATTTACTGGGGAAGGAGTGTTTTGTTACAGATGGTGATATCCTGAGGATGTCTGGATTTGTGTTTGTGGTCCTGTATGCAGTAGTTTTAATGAAAAACTTCAGTGGTACTGAAATAGACTCGTTTTGTCACTAAAATTTAAGCTGTCAAAAAACAAAGGTTAAAGGTGGGGGTTGATTGTGAGCTGCTGTTTCTCTTCACTGCTTGATGTGGTGGGATTGAAATTCTTTATATACCAGTTTTAAGCTAAAACTATGCCCTAAAATATGTGAAAAACTCTAAATTTATGTTTTTAAACCAGAAATTACAAATAATCCATTAAAGTAATAAAGCTGATGATGGAACTTCTATTTGTCAAAGCATTTACCTGAGTAGAGTTCTCCAAATGTTCTCTGAACCAGAATTCCGAAGTGACTTGCATCACAAATGAACATCTGTCCCTTCTTTCCTTTAGTCTTGGACATTTAATTTCCTCACCTAAAAAATAACCAGAACTTCAGAACTCCTTGGCCTGTTTCTGCCCACAGGAGTATGTTGCCACGTGCCCTGTTTAGGTGAGGGATGGTTGGTGCAAGAGGGAGGCTTTTAGAAAAAACCTACATCAGTTCCAGCCTGCCCTGAGGACATGAAGTAAATACAGTAAAAGCCAGAACCAAAAGTGAAGATAAACATCTTGACTAGACCAGAAAACACACTGGTTCTTCCTGATGCTCCAAGTGCAATTCCCTTGCTCTCCCTCCTGTAGCCAGTACCTCTGGGTATTGAACTTTCAGTGGGGGTCAGTTCCTCACTGGCCTCTCCCCCAGGAAGAAGGAGCAACTTCCTCTCTTTCCTTTTATTAAGTGACAGTAAGACAAATTTTGGGCATTTTGGAGGAAGTGCCTGTCTAATTTAGACCTTGTGCAATATTAAAGCCCATATAAATATATAGAAATTGCCATTTGTCTTGCCCAAACAAAACTGAGGCTCTGTTTTTTGATTTCTTGGGTTTGTTCATTCCTTGCCCCTGCAGCTCTCCCAGTGATCTGCCTGTCCTTTGCAGTGTCAAACATGGCTGGTGCTGGCCTGGGCTGCCACAGGGACCAGAGTGGCAACTGTTTATGAAATTAGGAAAACAAAGGGAACCCAGGCTGACATATACCCTGTTAGACTTGCTGTGAGGCTGGTTTAAGTCCCAAGTGCTTCTAGAAACCAAAACGTGCTCTATAAAGCTAAAAATTCTTCCCAGATATTCACCTTAGTTGCTAAGCAGGTCTTTGAAGACTTTGGATCACAGGCTCATTTCTAAGTGTTAAGGAAAAAAAAAGTACCCTTCCTGTTTAAAATTACATTCTCTCCTCTGGGTTTATCTGTTAAAAATCCTGCAGTCAGCCTGTACATTCTTTAATTTACAGTCATAATGAAATAGAGATTGTCAAATACTGTCTTAAATTAGAAAAATATCTAACTACCCTGTCTAGATCCTGAAAAACTTGAACTGAAAAGGCAATTTCAAGTCTGAATAATATATATAATTATTTCTGGGTTTTATTAGCTGTTGGAAAACATGACTGAAGTTGTTAGAAAAGGGATCCAGGAAGCACAGCTTCAGCTTCAGAAAGCAAATGAAGAGCGACTTCTGGAGGAGGTGAGGCTTTAAACATCAGCTGTACCTTGAGATAACTTGTCACAGAGGGGTCACTTGCTCACCAGCCAGTGTTGGGTTGTGCTTTGCAGGGGCTGCTGCGACAGATTCCTGTGGTGGGCTCTGTGCTGAACTGGTTTTCCCCCTTCCAAGCCTCTCCGAAGGGAAGGACGTTCAATTTAACAGCAGGTAGGGCTCATTCACTGCACCGTGTGACGCTGCTGTTGGGGCTGTTCCCAGTTTGATACTGAACTTGCAGCACATTCCTGTGCTGGTTGGATCATGAGTGACATCATCCACCCTCGGGATGTACAAGAACATATTTGGAATTCATGTCTGGTGATGTGGAAGGAGCTGCCTTTAAGCTTTTATGTCGTTGAGACTGATGTACCAACATAATACTTTCTGAAATTATACATTTCCACTGTAAAAATACTGTGGCAGAATTAAGAATGAATATTCCTGGACTCAGCAGTGCCTGGCCTGGCTGTCTGTGTGTCTGTAACCTGCAGGGAAGACTTCTGCTGTGCTTGGGGCCTTTCTGACTCTGGATGCACCGACGGGCAGGTTCTCACAGCCGAGAACAGCCAGGTTCCCCTGGGAATGCTGACCCCTGCATGGTTAGATACCCTTTCCATGTGCACTGCTTCATAGCTTGCAGCTGGGAACATGTCAAGTGCCCAGGGGAGAAAGGAAAAGGGCCTGCAGGGTGTAGCAGTGTTGTGAGTGAGTGTGAGGGGAAACCATCCATTTGTGAAGTGTGAGCGCTCCTGTCCCCGGGTACTCAGAAATGGATCCCCCACCACTTGGCAGTTTGAACTCAACCAGCACATGCACTTTCAGAAATGTGCATTAACAGGAAGACTGTTACATACCTTACAAATGCAAACAGAAAACTGCTCCAGCCTGGGTTATATTCAACTTCTTTTTTTTTTTTTTACCCACAGGCTCTCTGGAATCCACAGAATCCACATATGTGTCAAAGGCCCAAGGAACAGGCACCACTCCACCACCCACTCCCACTTCCAGCCTTGCAAAGCAAAGACTTCCTGGTAAGTTTCTGTGTCTTAGTTAAATTTCTAAAACTTGCTAAAACATCCTGATACAGGATGAGCCACATGATTTTCCATCTTTCTTAATATGTGGAACTGGAGCTCATCTTGTACTGCCTTAAAAACCTAATTGTACACATGACACAGACCACCACCCCAACCTCTTTTCTCCCCACAAATTCTTCCTGGGCCTACAGGAAGTTGTAATCCCATTAGCTGACAACAGTCCATGAAATCTGGAATCTTCCTCTAGAATATTATGAGGTTATTGAGCTTTAAAAATGAGCAAGCAACAAGCCAAAAGTTCTATTTGAAATAAAAGCATAACATCGTAATCATGTACTTCAGCAACTGCATTTCTATTGCTACCAAATATTTTGTGGACAAAATCCTTCTAAAGGGAAGATCTGTTATATCTATGGCACTCTCTGTATAGTTGTATTAGTAATCAATGCTGATCTGATTGGCAGGAAAGCCACAGTTTTAACTCACCTTTTGAGCTGGTGGCTTCCAGCCTGTAGTTTTCTATGCAGGTTTTTTCCCTGGAATGACTTCAGTGTGTGTGTAGGCAGTTTGGTTTCAGCTCAGTTTTACCTGTCTCTGCATATACAGGATACAAGGACAGGTGCTTTTACTTTGCAGACCTGTCTCTAACTGCAAGGGAGGGGGGTCTGTATTTAGGTGCAAAGTAGCACCCAAACAAAACCTATTTTTTTTCAGTTGTAGAATTCCAATACTTCCCTTGAACTTGTGCACAGCACTGTTTGTGTTTGCTGCCTTCATGGGTACTGTGTTCTTCAAACACTTTGCAGGTCAGAAAGCTTTTAAAAGGTCTCTAAGAAGCTCTGATGGGTTCAGTGAGACCAGTTCCATCAGCCACTGTGATGACCTGGAGAAGATGGATCAGAGACCCCCAGCTCTATCCCCCAGCCACGAGCAAGGACCTTTGGAGACAGAAAAACCAGAGGAGCAGAAGGAGGTGGCACAGGCACAGACAAACACTGAGGACACTCACAGTGACAAATCACCACCTGACTGTGCAAAGGGAGAGGAACAAGCAAGTGAAAGATAAAATCCAGTGTGGATTTCAGACTTTGCCAAGGCAGCCCCTGCCCAGGGAGGCAGGGTGTGAACGATGCATTGAAAATGTGAACAGTGCCACACACTAGTACAGTAATAACTACTGTAACTTATTAACTGGGATTTTGCACAAATATAAATTCCCTCCCCTGGGACAGAGATTTGTCTTATCATACTTGTTACAGTTGCTTTAATCCTCTACATGTCGGTGTCACCAAAGCAGTAGTGAAATTTATTAAGTGCTCATAAACATTTGTAAAAACACTTAGCAATTATCCTTCCTGCAGGAATCTATGCATGGTAACACTTGCTAACAAACCCATCAGCCATGCACATGGTTAAAAATACAGTTGCACCCAATAATTATACAACGATCTTATGCTACTACATCTTATTAAAAAAAAAAAACAACTGCCAGTTGTTCACCTTTTTAGTATTTACAATTCAGTTTAACCTCTCCTGCAGTCACACTACTGACTTGCTTCCCTTTTGTTACCTTATCCAGCACCTTGCCCAGCAGCTGGGGGGGCCGGGCCCGTGTAAATAGGGGTCACTGAGGAGCGCTTGGCCAGCGACCATTTGTTCTGCTGTTGTGCTTCACCCACCCAGCCCTGGCTACAGTGGGGACCGAGTTCATGAGTTCTAAGCCTTTTAGAAAGAAATAGTGCCTCTCTGCATGCCTGACCAGCTCCCTGCTTCCACCCCTGGGAAGGATCACCAAGGCACCGTTGCGTTCCTTTGCACGGCATTGACACCAAATCCGCTCGCACACGTTGACGTGGTGTAACTGGAGTTCTTTCTGTTGTGTATTTTTAAAGATAGTTGTAGTAAAGCTTGAAAAACCAATACATTTGTGACGGTTTCGACACTTATTTTTTGAATAACAGTAACTTACCTATGGTAGGAATTGTACAGACTCTAAAGAAACTATTTAGGTTATTTACAGCACAGCACAACTTCAGAGTGTCTGGAACTACTCTGGATAAATTCAAACCCAAGGTCTAAAAGTGTTTTCCCCCTGGATCATCTTAATCACTTCACTGCAGATTTTCAGAGCCTCTTGTGGAAAGATCTCTGGCAACACTTGCTTTCCTTGAGTCACCTGATTTTGATGCAAACCATCCCATCCCTGTAGAACCGGATACAAATACTGGGTTTTTTCTTCCCCTCCTGATGGGTATCCATTAATACCATAATGGTTGTAGTGGTCCTGGGGCTTACTTTGATAATCTGAAAAATTTAGGGTTTTTGAATTGTACTGGCACCTGATTTGACTCTCAGCTCCTCAAGCCTGCAGGGCTGGGATGCCATGAACAAGGTTAATTTTGCTGTTGGGGTAATTTATGTAAATCAGTGCAATTTTTCTAAAGTGCAAAAGCAATTAAGTTGACTAGTCTTCCTCCTTGGTTTCTTTGGTGCAATGAAGTATGTTAATAATAAGAGTAATTTGTTGGGGATGAAGTTATCACCACAAAGATTAATTTTTAATGTTTTTATATTTGGAAGTGTTTAAATCAGTAGTTTTGTTGGAATGAGCTTCATTCTTTAGATACTTACCTGAATGTTTCAATAAAGATTCTTCAAATTATCACTCTGGAATTAAGTTCTTGTTGAAGGACACTTCCCTACATTTCAGCAAGCTCTAAGTAAGTGTGTGCAGCTTCCTTTCACTGTGTGTGCAGAATCACTTTCTGAAGTGCACACCAGTGTAGTGACTCACCTTCTCAGTCTCCAGCACTGCCCCTCTCTACCTGTGCCCATCAAATTATTGCACTGGAGCAGCAGAGCCTAAACAAAGCCAAATTCTTACTTCAAAAACCCTGATTCCTACGTAAGTAATGCAGAAAAAGCAAGTTACTTCTATCAAAATATTTTATTTTGAAAAGCACAGGAACAATGGTATTTGTGACCAGCAATATCCTTTTTACAACAAATTGCTCATCTTGCAAGACTGTACTTCCCTAAAGCAGTTGTGGTGGTTGGTTCCAGGTTAGATCTTGTCAGAACAAACCTGTTCCCACAACCCTTCTTTGTTTTTTTTGTAGATGCGAGGTTTGCTGTCGGGGAACAGGGACCGAGATGGAAAGGGATGTGCTTTGAGAAATGTTAATGTAGATCGCATGTGGGAAACAAAGTGGGGTGGCTCAGCCAGGGGCGACGTGGAAAGATTCTGAAAGAGAAGATGGGAGCAAGAGCTGCTTGATATTCAGAGCACAATGTTCTCCAGATCCTGCCTTCCAATAAGGATATTCCCCACCCTTCCCAGGGCCAGCAGTGCACTGGAAGAAGTTCTGACAGACTGCATCCCCTCCTCTCTACTCAGCCAGAAGGGGAAAAAAAAAGCTCAGTTTCAGGTACCTGTAAAATCTGGGCATCATCCTGTTCCAACCAGAAGTCCACGTGTGGGAAAGGCCCCCAGAAATAAGGCCCAATACGGAGCTGTTCCGTCTTTGCATCGTAGATGTTGGTGAGCTGTAAGAACACAGGGAGCCTGCAGGGTCAGACAGGGCTCACACTGGCAAAGAGCACATTCCCTTGGTCTGAGGGCCCTGGGCTCAGCTCCTGTCCCAGACAGACCGTGGGCCAGCTCAGCCCTTCCTTCCGACTGCGGTACCTTGAACCAGTTCTGACAAACGTGACATTAAACAGTAACAGCAAACCCAGAACCCAGAGAATGCTACCAAAGAATTTTGTTTCCTCAGACTTTGGATGTTTGTCCCAACTGGTCTCCCCTTCTGACAAAAATACCGTTTCCCCCCCCCCCCCATATTATTTTTACTCACTGGTGCTCCTGTTAAAACATGGGCTGAACGCAAATCCTCATCCGGCCCTTTTTCTGGGAAGGTTGCAGGGAAAATCTCTGCTGTTTTAACATTCACAGCTGGGAGGAAACAGAGATTAAAATACTGAAACAATTAATTCCTACAAGGCGTTTGTTTACAGTGACCATGTCCCCAACACAACTGTGTTGCAGAACTTCAGAACCCATCGCACTCTTGTATTTCTCAGACCCCTGAGCCTGCAACAGCACATTTCTACTCCATTTCCTTTGACAGCATTTCAATATTCCACAGATGCATGAACTAATTAGAAGAAACACTGAATAATCAATAAGAAGGTTGAATTCGAAGCAGAAATTTAGTGCAGTAGCTTGATATTGATAAAATCATAAGTGCAGTTAAAGGAAAATAAATCTGCTTGCCTTTGTACACAGCCCCTCCTACATGTGCAACTGTGGTACCACAAGACAAGTATTTCTACCTTCACCTCTGACAGCAGCTTGTAACTTTTAGGATGGACTTCAGCCAGTCATTAACTATAAGCCCATTTACCACTGGAATCTGAAAAGCAATCCAGTTACAAAAATATAATTAAATTCTAATTTACTCACCTATTCCATAAATGATTGGAAAGTGAATATCCTGTTCTTCTCTATCATTTAGTTCTGTAAGAGAAATCAACTTGTAGGACTTTGGATTTTTCTGTGAGCAGCATTCATTTAGTTGTTCTCTGATAACATACAACAGAACTGATGTTGTAAAGACAGAAAAAAACCAAGGAAGCCTAAAAGAAATGTGGAAAAGAAGGTGCAGGTGCAGGTCTGCTTGAGGCCTGGAGCAGAGCTGTCTCCAAACAGAACAGCTGGTTCCAGCCAACTGCCCCCCACTTCTGCATGGGCAATTTAGAGGGAAAAAACCACAATGCAAAATGACCACGATGCCAGTTTTCAAAGATGTAAGTCACCAACAGCACTGTCACGGAAAGAGGATGGAAATATGACCTCAACATGATATAAAGGAAAGGAAATAACTTCCTGTAAGTGACATCACACACTGTGAACTAACTGAAAGAGTTAACGAGTTCACTGGACCCTGTAGGGAGGTCCAGCAGAGCAAAGGTCTGCAAGTGCCCTTCTCAATTGTCTCATAAGATCTCCACAGGTACAGAGCCTGTTCCACAGGGCAAATGTGCCAAAATAACCTGGCCAGGATCACGAGTGGCTCTGCTATTGGCTGCAGTGCAGCAGAACTTGGTAAGGAGAGAATCCTGCTGCACTGGCTCTCTGCCACCACCACACACACTGACCACAAGAAAACGAACAATTACAAACGGTTATGGAGGACTTGTGCTGTTCTGTCTTACAGGACGGATAAAAAGCCATGAAAAGACCCCTGCCCTTTGATTTCAGTAGCTAAAGGTATTTCAAAACCCAAGGAAAGATTTTCTTACCTGTTACACAGAAGGTCACTAAGTGAACATCATCTGGCTGGAGATCGAACGCTCCTACGGCAACAAGGACAGCGCAACGTGTGAGTGAGGGTGCAGGGCAGGGCTGGGTGGGCACTGCAGTGGTGGGCACACACCGACACCACTGCTCCTGGGGAGGGCACAGCAAACAGCCTTTTGCATGTTTGCTTCAAACTAACAGCAATTTACAGAGAGGAGCCATTTGTAATAGCAAAATGTGCTAAAAAAAAGTGTTGTGCCACTCACTGTTTTTAGTGACACTGGTTTAGCTCTGGCATCACACCAGCTCTGATGTAGTTCACCATACACATTTAGCAGCTTATATTTAAATGTTTTCTCCTAAAATGTTACATATATAGTGAGCAAACCCAGTCTTTCACTAGGTGTAAATTAAAACTGCCTTTCACCATCTTAAACTCCAGGAAAAAAATTCCTCTTTTTTTTCGAAGTTCTGACAGCAATACAACAATTGATTCAAATTGTAACTTGATGCTTGAGAATCAGAAGGTTGAAAAAATAAGTTAACCAAAATACCTTTTTCTGTACAGAACTCTCATATAACATAGACCAGGTGTAACAGCCATGAGGCTGCAGCCCAGGGCCTTTGCTGGTTCTGTTTTCCTTTTTGTTTATCCCCTTAAACACCTCCCTCCAATCCTGACACCTGCCCCATCCCTCCTCCCTCCCCATTCCAGTGGGGCTGAAGCCTCTCCACACTCAAAGTGCTCAGCACAAGGCAGAGCACTTGCAGGTAGGCAGGTACTTTATGTTTCCAATCTCTTAGTAAAGCACTGCCATCACTGCTCTGGACTATGGATTTTATAAACAGACCTGACATTTTTCATCAGGCAATTCCAAACAATAATTAAATTTTACCTCATCTCATTAAGGTATGAACTGAATGGTAATTAATGAAGTCACCCACACTCACAGATTTGGAGAGTGTCACCACTTCCCAAGATCACACCAGGAGTCAAACCCAGCTGAACTGTGCCCCAACTCTCCACAGCAGAATACGAGCCAGGGGGAAATGACCAGTTCAGACCCTGCATCCCACACACTGCCCATGGAGCAGCCCCAGCAGCCCAACCCTCTCCGAGTTCTCAGGCACAGAAAAACACCCTTCAAAACAAATCCACGTTTCTTTCCAGTAAATGACTGGGGACTCAGATTACAAACAAACTTTACCCACATCCAGCCAGAACTATTGTTTTTGGACATGAGAGTGGAAAAAAAGTGAACTTACTAAGAAGCTGATTAGTAAGTTTTTGTGATAACTGCCTATCATCATTGAAACCTCCAACTAGGTGCACTTCCAGCCTAACAGAGATGGAATAACAGGAAACAGCAATTAAAAAGACATCTCAAAATGAATAGCTTTACAAAAAAATCCCCAGCCCAAACTGCAAAGCAATCATTAGAGAAGCCTTATTACAATCACATGCACCAAGCTGGTTTGCATTACACAGCAGGTTATGGTAACTCCATTCTCAGCACTTGAGGGATCATAAGGAACTGGCACAGAACAAAAGCTTTTAAGAGGCATTACATACATGCAATTCTAACCCAGGGGCATCTCTGATGGTCAGCACCTCAGGTTTGGATGGAACTTTGTAACCTCCTTTCAGTTCCCAAAAAAGGGTTAACTAAACATGAAGATTTTTGTTCCCATGACCTCCTCACAACTATTCTGGACCACGCAGCAAGGTTCTTCTCCTAAAAGTGTCTGTGTAAAGACAAGTCCTTACAAATCATGACTTTTAGAGATCACATCTTCTAAGTTCATTTAGTTTTTGTTCTTACCAAACTGCAGGGTCAAAAACCTGCACATCCACAAAGAGTCTTGTTTGCTAAATTCCATTTCAGAGCTTTTTACCAATTGTCCTGTCCCACACACCTCTTTTTTCTTTTTTTTTTTTTTTTAATGCGGACTTGGAAAAATCCGAGATGGATTCTCAGATACCAAAAAGAATTTACAAAATTAACACTCTAGAAGGAAAAATATAAACTAAAAAAACAGTTATTTGGAAAATTTTGCACATCTGAAACAAAAGTGAACTGGGAAACAGTAAATGCAAACCTCACAGTGATTTTACAGAGACACCATTCAGAACAGAACCGTGCTTTAAACGACTGCTAAAAACTGCCCCAAAATCATCATCAAGGAAATCATTTTCACTTTACATGTGGCTGCTGATTAAGAGAAGTTTCCTGCACAATGACCTTGCCTGAACCCCATATAATCACACAAAAATTTCCTGCTGTATAAGCTGCAGCAGCCTTTGTGCAAAGCAGCACACAAGAAAGGAGCAGAGCTGACCTGCCACAGCCCGTGGTGTTTGAGAGAGACTTCACTGAACTCATGATGAGCGACACCTCGGTCTCTGTGTCAGACCCGTCGCAGTGTGTCAGGCAGGTGGCTCCGCTGCCTGGGGAAGGCACCAGAAGACAGTGACTTAGTGACTATTTTGTTAACAGTAACACTTTACCCTGCTGCAGTATGGTAAGAGTTGCACCCACCACCACCAGCCTTCCTCTCGGGACAGCGGTCTCTGGCAGAGGACATGGACTCACTGAATGAGGCAACAGCCTCTGCACGTGCCCATTGTAGAACCACAGCTCATGTCAGGGGTACAAGCACCCTCTTAAGCAGGACCAGGAAACGTCTCTAATGTCAGAGACCCAGGCACATAATGAGGATCTTCCCAGAAATCCCACCTCCGTAATTTCCAAACCCTGCTCCCACACTGCTGAGCACAGCCCAGGGCTGCAGTGCCACTGCCACTGGCCACAGGGGCAGAGCAGGTTAAACATCTGCTCACAGAGCAACCACAACGCTGAGCCTCTGACACCAAACACACCCCCTCTTGGAACAAGTGGTTTAGTTAATACTTATGTGACTTTTGGAGATTCAGGTTTACACAAATGTAACTGCAGTTTATTTTATTAATGCCACATAAACCATTACTAATTCCTCACTTCAGGGGGACAGGTTTTGTTCTGAATGTCCTTTAAGGATACCTGTGTGTCGGAGCACAACTATGTGGCAGGTAGTTGCATCATCTGATCCAAGAATAGAAACAGAACCTATTTTAAAGGAGAGAAACACCGTAAGAACTCCCTTCACACAGTCACTGCTTCAGCAGAAGAGCAAATGTTTATGCTCCTACACACCATCTTTGGGGGTGGTCACTGCAAACTCTCTCTGCTGGACATAGAGGAGGCCTTTGGGTTCCACAGTCTGAGCAGGCTGACTTCTCAGAAGCTTTGCCTTTTCCTAAAGATAAATGATAACAGAGACTACAGCGGCTGAATTCTCAGATGTATGCATTGCTTGACAGAAACATCACCTCTGAAAAGCAAAGGGACTCAGGTCAGAGAGAAATGTGTATTTTGGATTACAGAGTATTCTGAATTTTGAGAAGTTTTTGCTTACCTGCCACTGATCAAGTTAATAGTGAAATCTCCTGATTCCAGAGACACACAAAACACTTTTCCCTGTTTTACAGACCATAAAATGGAGGCACAACAAAAAGCATTTGCACTTGGCAAAGATTATACAAGAGACAACACCAGAGCTGATCTTGGAAGTTTAATCAGGACAAGAAACTTTGGAAATGCAGAAGTTTCAGCCTTCTACTGCCACAATCCATAATATTTACTTAACACTTCTCAAAATATCGCTGTCTATTAGCTTGCCTGGTGCAGGGAAAACCCAGATTCCTGGGCTATGACTACTGCAGTGCTTCACCACAGACCCGCTGGGCAAGAAGCGGATTTGCACGCTGGCGGCTCAAAAAACACCCCACAGTCCGATCAGATTTGCCCTGGTTTTCTGCACAAATTCACGTTCTACGAAGAAACACCTTCTAATGGCAAACACCTTCCGAAACAGCTCTGCTCAGCATTCCCGGCTGGCAGTCCGCCGCTTGGATAACAACACATATATAACATTTATACAGTGGAAGCGAGGTTAGCACCTTCCCGACAGTGACCGCCTCGGCTTTTATCGCCAGTTTTTGTTATTTCGGGCAGACGGGCCCGGCCGAGGCAGCCCCAGCCCGGCCGCTCCGCTCGCACTCGGGCGGTCACCGCCGAGCCCCTCCCGGGGACACCGATTTTATTTATTTCGGTCCCCCCGTGTTGTCACAGCGGTGCCCGGGGCCGCCCCCGCCCCGCCCGGCCGCTTCACGCCCCGGGGCCCCTTCGCTCACCTCGAGGTGCGGGTGTGCGCGGATCATGTCCCCTGTGGGCCGGGACAGGTCCACCCGCGCTCCGTTAACCAGCAGCGGCATCTTGGCGAGTGCTGGGCCGGGCCTGGAGGCGGCTCCACGCTCCCTCCTGAGGCCGCGCCGGGCCGGGCCGGGCCGGGCGGAGCCGCGCGGGGCGCTGGGAAAGCGGGGCGGTGGGAAAGCGGGGCGGCGGCACCGGCACCGCCCGGGGCTCGGCAGGGACCGGCCTGGAGCTCGGCCCCGGCACCGCCCGGGGCTCGGCAGGGACCGGCCTGGAGCTCGGCCCCGGCACCGCCCGGGGCTCAGCAAGGACCGGCCTGGAGCTCGGCTCCGGCACCGCCCAGAGCTCGGCCCTGGCACCGCCCGGGGCCCGGCGGGGTCTGAGGCGAACACGGAAACGCGCCCGGGCTCGGCCCCGCCTGAAGATTTAACCCGGTAACCTCGCCGAAACCCGCCCCTCCTCCCGTCACTGCGGGGTCACCCGTAGGTTATGGTATGAAACCGGTTTGGAAATAACAGCGATAAAGCCCCGAATTCACAAATCACAAAATCAGTTAGGTTGGAAAAGACCTCTGAGATCGCCGAGTCCAACCTCTGACCGAACACCGCCGTGTGTCAGGCCATGGCACTCAGTGCCACGTCCAGTCTTTCCTTGAACATCTGCAGGGACGGTGACTCCACCTCCTCCCTGCGCAGCCCATTCCAAGGTCTAATCGCCCTCTCTGTGAAGAAATTCTTCCTAATGTCCAACCTAAAACTCCCCTGACGCAGCTTAAGACTGTCCTCTTGTCCTATCACAGTTGACTGGGAGAAGAGACCGACCCCCACACCACCATCCTCCACCCCAATACCTACAAAATTAGGTATTCATACAATCCCAAAGACGACCGTTTTTCCTTTAAGATCAGGGATTTTTTCCTCCAGTTGTCTCAGTAAGACAGCAAGAAAGACCACCGTGGTAGCAGCAGAGTTAATTTACCCTGCATGGAGAGTGGACAGCCAGGCACCAGGACTGTCCACGACCCACAGAAAACCCCCAGTTCGACCTTTCCATCCACCTTCACAAAAGTAAACTGTCCCTGGAAGTGTTCCAGGCCAGGCTGGAGCAACCTGAAAAGTGTCCCTGCCCATGGCAGGGGGTTGGAACTAAATGATCTCTAAGGTCCCTTTCAACCCAGGCCATTTGATGATTCTGTAGCAGACCTTTTCTTCAAAAGGTACCCTGACTCTCTCAGATGACACAAAATTCCACCTCCAAATCAGCATTCCTGTCACCGGTATTTACAAAGTCTCTTTAGCAAAATGCCAGCACCTGCCAGCACACCTGCCTGCACTTACACTGAGCAAAGCAGAGCTGGCACAGCTGAGGGTCCAGAAACACTTCAACAAGTAAAAACTGTACAACTTCAGTACAGACAGTTCAATGTCTGCATACTTTTTGACATTATACTAGTTACAGGGATTTTTTTTTGTTGTTGTTCTAATGAGACATGGAAGCTCCTGAATCACATGCCTGGTATTAAAACTGCAGAAGTTTTAGCCTCATTTTGGAAGAAGCAGCTGAAAGGCATATTTGAAATGATGTTTTTCTTGCTGTTGATCTGAGAAGGGTTCTTGCATGCCAGGAGAAAATGCAATTATTTCAGATGGAAATCTATTGTTTATTACACAGGACTGACAATAAAGAGGACTAAAATTAAACACAAAAACTCAGTTTATACAATGATGAACACATTCACTGATGCACTCTGCAATGTCATCCCCAGAACTTATTTCTGCAGTCTGTCAGAACTAACACCCTGGCTTTGAGAAGCCAGGCTACACAGAGAGCACCTCAGTTACATACAGAAATGGGGTTTTCTCAAATGTGTAAGTATTGCACTGTTGGCATCACTCTTTATTGGTTCCAAATAAAAATGTTGTCTTGAAAGCCTCCAAGTTCAGATTCTAAAGAAGGGCAATTAGAGTTTAGTCCAAATGCATAAAATTTTCAACTCAGTGCTACACAAATAGCATTTTCCCCCCCACTGTTTATATTTTTACTTAAATCTAAAAGCCAGCAACCATGAAAAGACAAGAAACTTCAGCAGAGAAGCTCAACAGTGACTGACACATGGACAACACAAGGACACCACTGACACTACTTTCTTTCCACAAGGGAAGATTTTTTTTTTTCCTATTTTCAGCATTCACATATAAACTTCAAATCCTGCAAATAAATACCTGTCTCATAGTGCTTCATAAGCACTCCGAAGAAAACTATCTACAAATAACACATTCAGCTACTCCCTCATTTTCAACACTTCCAACAATCATCACTTTTACATGTCTGAACTTTCATAGCTGGGAAAGGTGCGTGTCAGCTACAGATTTAAGGAAAATTAGTGCTTGCTGTCTGAATACACTCCACTATCAAGTGGCTTCACTAAAAACTGCTCTATAGACAGGAAAAGCCTAAGAGATGTGTGTAGAAGAACCACTGTCAGACTGGTTCCTGGCCTGTCTATCGAGGGATCACACCTTTACTTTGAAATGAACTCTAGAAGAGTCATCAGAGTAGAGTCTGAACACTGACAGGGGAATTCTGGCCCCCACACAAATCAGCAGGAAGAAATACCAGAATTTCACCTCTGATATATAAAACCTTGTAGAGAAACATTAGTAAACAAAGTTTTTAAGAGTCAGGAAAAACTATATAAAAAAAAAATCCCTTCGAAGTCATAAAAACCATTTCAATGTGAAATTTGCAAAGTATCACCCTATTTATTCTCTAAGCTTTTCTAGCAACGTATGACTCTACTATAACATATCTGTAGAAATCTGATGATTAAGAAACAATAATTTTTCTCAAATGTAGTTACTTAAAACACTTGCCAGTTTGGAAATTTGAGCTAAAGTCTCTGTAAAGAGTGAAACATTGCACACGAGTTTTCAGCCTTCTCACTTCTGACGCCCCATGTCACGGAGGGAACGGCACATAACAGTCTGGAGGGGAGCCAATGCTGCTCCCGGGGCTCCGGGTGCTGGACTCATAGGAATTGGGAGCAATTCCAACCACACCATCATTTTGAGGGGTTTCTCCTTTCAAGAAGTCATCGTCTTCATCTTCGGAAGTACCCTGAATAAATTCAAAAGGCTCGGTGAGAGCAGAAAGATACTGTCAAATCTAAGAGATCTGGATTTACACTACAATTGTCACGACCAGTAAGAATGGTAAGAGAATTAGATGTACTCTCATTATGAAATATGGGCACTAAATCACATCTAGAGTGGATTTTCCAGTGACATCATTGTGTCCATGTTCTGAGAGCGTTCATAAAGCTTTCACAGGGGTCCTGTGCTGCAGAAGAGAGGAAAAGTGCTCAGATCAATTCCTAAAGCTTCCAAATTTCAATCACAGTTTAGTGTATTCATACCTACTTTAAAAAAAAAAATCCTGCAACAGAAGAAGCTGATAGAGATTTGGAAAAAGCTAAACTGCATTTTCATCAGGAAAGATTAGAAAGATTACCTTTTTAATTGGTTTCTTTAGATTCTCAAGATCTTCAGCACTCAGCTCTTCCCAGAACTGATAAAGAGGATCAATGGTTTTCTTCGATCTGAGAGAGGAATCAAAACACAGAATGAGCTAATATATTCAGTAGAAGTCATATATATTTCATTTTAATAATACAATATAAAATGCTCTGACATTTTGATAGCCCTCTCTAGGATTTCACAACCTACTCAATTAATCCCTATATAATCCTCAATTAATCCCATGAAAAAATACCTCCATTTTGCTGATAGGTATAAATCACAAAGGTTTGCTAGAGGACTTCTGGTAAGGTCATGTCTCCTAACTCCTAACTGGGTATTTTTGACAGCTGCACTGTGCTCGCAAAAAAAGCGTAATTTTCTTCCAAAATTTTAAATATTGTAGAAACAACTTTTGTTGTTATATGAATATTAATATTATTAGTAGTCTCCCTTCTGTGGAGATGGATTTTTTTTTTAAGAGACAATAAAAAGCCAGAATGTTGCTCTCTACCATAAAAAGAAAGGTATTTTAAATAAGCTGAAGTCACCAATCAAGAAGCAATATACTGACAGTGCAAAAAACCCAAAATAAAATGACAAAAAAAGGACACATCACCACCATGGTTCCAACAAAACATGATTTAGGCTAACATGACATTTTAGAGGCTGCTTACAACAAAGAAAAACCAAAAATCACCAAACATATTAACTAGACCTTCCAGGAAACTGGATCCTGTCCCTTCTTCATTGCTATCTGTCACAGGAGGGGTACATTTCAATTCAAACCTTTGACAATCTCTGGTTAAAACACGTAACATGAGAAGTACTAAAGATCAGTGAGGAAAGTGAACTGCAGAAACACTGACAGGTTCCTACAGTTTTTATTCATTATTTCCTGCAAGGCAGAAAATCAAGTTGTTTATTTTTAAACCATACCTTTTGAGGATGTAGGGATCGAAGGGGAAGAAGCTGTCCAGAGGGTTAGTGCACGTCTGCACAAGGTCACCTCCGGTACCGCTCCGAACAACTGGGATGAACTGCCTGTTGTTCCTCTCAATAATGGTGTAGCAGAACACCAGCTGGTATTTCCTTTAAAAAAGGTAATAAAGAAAAGGTAAGCACTTCTAGCACATCTTAAGCAAGGATTTCAGATGGTATTAAAATATGAAGTTATTTTTTAACAAACATCACTTCTATCTTCCATTTTCCAGGTGATACTAGGAGTTTCAAGATAGTCACAAGGTAAGGAGCCTGTTCTCTCTTCCTCTATACTCAACTTTACTCCAAGTAGAATCACACTGGCTCCAACACAAAGCAATCACAGTGCTGCAGGCTTTCATTAGAAATGAACCAGAAATAAACTTATCACACCTGGAACATGGGCAGTATCATGTCTTAGATGATATTCAATACTGAGCCTATCAAAACCCATGTTCTAAGTACTGTTCTGGTTTCAGATACACACCAAGGTCTGAAGCTGAACCTGAAGTAAGTGAGTAGGTACCTGGTAATTGCAGCAAACAAGTTGACAACAGAAGGGATACAAATCTTCAGGGGGTTGAGCTGACACATGACAATGCGCTCGAAATTTAAACTCTGCAGATATGACAGGCC